GTCATAGCAGAAATCATCCTAATTAATTTTTGGTTCAACATTTCCAACGTAATTTGTTGCTACACACCTTGAAGTTGCCTAAGATAAATGTTAGGCTGCAAAAAACTCCTTGTCAGTCAAATGAGATTGTCTGCTTATTTTGTCAGTGCCCATTTGTATGAGGGGACATTAAAAAAAGTTTATGGAAAAATGAAATTAAAAGATCAAAATAAAAAAATGTAAACTTTATTTCTCAACCTAAGCTCCATCAAGGTCAAGACACTTTTGTAAACAATGATACCATCCATTTAGTCCATCCCTAAATAACTGAGGGTCCTGGGAATTTAACCATATTAATGCAGTATTTTTTTTTTTTTTACCTTAACTGGGCAAAAATGGTTACCCTTTACAGATTTTTTAAGATTAGGAAACAAAAAGAAGTTGAAGGGAGCTGTATCAGGACTGTAAGGTGGATGCCTAATTATTTGCCATGGAAACTCACAAAATTTCCCTTGTTTGTTGAGAATAATAAGCAGGAGCATTGTCATGGTGGAGCATGACTCTCTGATGAAGCTTTTCCAGGCATTTTTCTGCTACAGCTTTGACTAACTTTCTCAAAATACTCTCATAATAAGCAGATGTTATCATTCTTTAGCCCTCCAGATAGTCAGCAAAATGCCTTGAATGTTCCAAAAAAACTGTTGCCATGACCTTTGTTCTTGATCAGTACACTTTTGCTTTGACTGCACTACTTTCACCTCTTGGTAGCCATTGCTTTGATTGTGCTTTGTCTTCAGGATTGAACTTGTAAAGCCATGTTTCATCTCTTGTTACAGTTCTTCAAATAAATGCTACAGGATCTTGATCCCACTTTTTTAACACTTCCATTGAAAGCTCTGCTCCTGTCTGCAGCTGATCTGAGTGTAATGGTTTTGGCACCTATTGAGTGGAAAGTTTACTTAACTTTGATTTTTCAGTTCGAATTGTGTAAGCTGAACAATTTCAGATGTCTATAGTTTTGCGTATTGTTTCTGCTGTTAATTGTTGGTCCTCTTCAAATAGGGCATGAACAAGATTAATTGTTTCCTTGCAAATTGATGTGGAAGGAAAAAATATGTAGAAGGACATGAGGGAATCACACATCAAGAAGGAAAGGCATTTGATCCTTCTACAAGCTGTTGAATGAAAATGAGAGAAAAGGGACACCTTATCACAATTAGTTTAAAAAAATTCTTATGATAACTTCTAAAGAAGTTTCAACTCATATGCTGAGCATTCTACCAACCCTTTGAAAGGATAGTTTCTAACAGAGATCCTGTATTATATCTGGTCTTACATTTTTACTTAAATGAGGGTCTAGGTACATAATGAAAAATAACTATTTCACACAAGTATCTATTATCTGATGTTTTTAGCTGTCTTTATTGGTGGTTCACAAGAAATGTTTTGTCAGAATCATAGAACATTACATTTTTTAATTATTTAACATTAAAATTAGCTTGAGAAGAACTTTCTTTTCAAGAATTTGACCTGACTGTATTATAGTATCTCCAGTACTATAATACTGGTGAGAATCTGTCACTTCATGAGGTTTTCCATCCTGCCCCTGGACATACTGACAGAAAAGGGTTTCTTGTATAAAATTGAAATCTGTCTTCCTCTTTCTTTTCCCTGGTAGAATTGAATTTCTTGGCATGATTCAGTGTCGGTGGTGGTTACTGCTAAATGTTACAGAAATCCACTTTATTCCAACTTATTAATACTTTGGCATCACAGGAACCATGACTCACAATCTTCATCTCACTTTTTCCTAACATGACCTCTTTTTCTGAAGTGTATTTTTCTATACAAGGTAGACCTGGGAGGGGTCATGGGCTTTCAAGGAAAAGATTCTCCAGTGAGACCTCTCAACTCCTTAAAATCTTGTGATGAAATCTGGAAGAATTCCATTGTGTTCGCATAACATCCTTCAATAATAAAAAAGAAAAAGAGAGATTTTCTTCCCCTCAGTTGATTTTTATCATGAAAGTGAGCATAATTTAAAAAAAATCTAGTTCATAATCATAAATCGTTTTTTCATTTGTGGGATGTACCTTTAAATCCCAAAGGGTATATCATTTTTCAGTACTCCCAAGAATAAAATGTTTCTGAAGTTATGTTGTAAATAAAGCAGGACTATATTTA